AACATTTTTTTTAATATATTAGTGGCCATGTGATAATTTCAGCTTATAAATTTTATTGTTTAGTGTCTTAATTTGTATATTAAGGTACTTTTATAGCTCTGTTTAGAGTAGGTAATGTCTTGATAATATAAATGTTTTAAGTTTTTTGTATCAATCCAGTATATTTTCTTTTAATTGTTGAATGATTCTGTGTACATTGCGGCAGCCTTTGGCTATGTGCAATAAAACTGACTGACTCCTCAGATGAAAACAGGGGCATCGCTTAGTCCACCACACAACTAGCCCTCCTCAACCTCCCACCCCCAGAGCATTTCCTATCAGAAGGAGGACATCAACAGGACACAACACACACCCCATCCACCATCCTGAGAAAACCCCTTCATCCCAATTTTATTATACAGTCGTACCTTGGTTTTCAAACAGCTTAGTTCTCTAACGTTTTGGCTCCAAAACACCACATACCCAGAAGTGACTGCACTGGCAGAGGAATAGGAGTGCAGGGGGAGCGCACCACCCCCAGCAGCACAATTCCAGTGGGTTGCCATCGCTGCTGCCCCCGCCCAAGCTGGGCTCCACGTCCCCAGGACACACGCCAGCCCCGCCCCCTCTCTGCCTCCGCCCCCAGAGCATGAAGTTCCGCCACTGAGTGACTGTTCCAATTTGTGAACTATTTTTGGAAACCAAACGTCCAACAGAGCTTCCGCAGCTTCCGATTGGCTGCTGGAGCTTCCTGCAGCTAATCAGAAGCCACACTTCAGTTTCCGAACATTTTGGAAGTTGAACGGACCTCCAGAAAACAGGTTCTGTTCGACTTCCAAGGGACGACTGTATTTTATTTTTTGGTAGATTTACAAAAAGAAAAAACAAACCAATAAATAAATTTCAGAAAGGGGAAAGATTAGACACGTATGCACTTAAAGAAAAATTAAGACTCCTTGTACACCGCTCTGCTCCCCCTTTCTGCCCACCCAGGGCTACCGTGTCCTCTGCCGGTACCCCAGGTGTACTTGCCTGGAGGCAGAGGCAGTGTCGAAAGTTAGGTCCAGTCCTAGGGTTGGTCGGACAGCAATCCACACAGTCAGACAGTCCAGGGGTCAGGGAATCTGATGATCATGGGGTCAAGGGTCAAAACAAGCAGCAACATAGGACCAGGAACTATAAGCATTGTTTCTAGCATCTGACTGCTGCTGGAAGCTCTGCTTAAGAAGGCTGAAGGCAGCTGGTTCTCATTAGCACCTTCTCCTCTGTGTCCTTGAAGGCTGATCAGCTGCAGGTGGAGTCACTCTGCCTTCTCCCCTTTCAGGCTGCTGTTCTGCAGGTGAAGTTGACTCCTGGCCCATGACAGTAGTCATGTACATGAAAGCTAATACCACACTGGTTGAACTACAGGTTCGAAGTGTTGGTGCTGACCTTTAAAGCCCTAAATGGCCTCGGTCCTGTATACCTGAAGGAGCGTCTCCACCCACATCGTTCAGCCCGGACGCTGAGATCCAGTGCTGAGGGCCTTCTGGCGGTTCCCTCATTGCGAGAAGTGAGGTTACAGGGAACCAGACAGAGGGCCTTCTTGGTAGTGGCGCCCGCCCTGTGGAACGCCCTCCCTTCAGATGTGAAGGAAATAAGCAGCTATCTTCTCTTTAAAAGACATCTGAAGGCAGCCCTGTTTAGGGAAGTTTTTAATATTTAATGCTGTATTTTTAACACTTGATTGGAAGCCGCCCAGAGTGGCTGGGGAAACTCAGCCAGATGGGCGGGGTATAAATAATAAATTATTATTATTATTATTATTATTATTATTATTATTATTATTCCCAGTGGTGAACCCCAATGCCAAGAGAATGCTCTTGGGTCTAGCAGAGGTTTCTATCAACAGAAAGGGCAAGAGGTGATTTTTGACAATTCTGCTTCCTGAAGCAACCTCTACCATGCACTCCCAAAATCTGGTGCAGTGGGTTGGGGGACCCTTTGGAAGTGAGTGGGGGTGGCATGGAGAGCTACACAGGGAAGGGGAGACGCTGTGGACATCATCTCTCTTCCTGTTACACTGACAGAAGCCTCTGATGGATCAAAGAGCCTTCCATCGGTGCAATGGAGACCATTGGAGACAAGCCACCATCTGAATGTCCCATTCATACTAGCTGACCATTGGCTATTAGCCTGGTTGTGTTTACACTGAAGTAAGTTTAGGTAATGTCACTGCCTGTCCGGCCCAAAGGGATTTCCACCCTCCTTTTTAATATAACAGCTATAATCAGCTTCCCTTGGAAATATACTATTACACAGGCCAAAACAAGCAGGGTTTTGTTGCTTTCGACAATTTCAATTTATCTGATTGGAATAAACTGCCCAAGAACTTCTTTAAAAATAACTGCCAACCAGAATCAAACATAAAAAGCATTAAGCATAAGTCAGGAGGACAGTATACCAAAAGTAGTGTTCCAAAAGGGGAGGCTTACATGACCAACCTATGTGGTTGTCTGTGTTGTCTCAATGAAACACCCTTCTGTATAATAACTACAGGAGTCCTATGAAGAACTACTTCATATGAGGTCAGACAACTAGGTCCATCAAGCCCAAATTATCTGCTCTGTTGCTGCCCTAGATAGATGTACCCAGTTCTGCATCCTGAGATCCCAGTAATTGGAGGAAGCAGGGATTGAACCCAGGACATGGGGGGAGAACCTTTGGCTTCTCCAGATGTTGTTGAACTACAGTTCACATTATCCCTGCCCCTTGGCCATGATGAGGACTGAGGTCAATGGAACTTGGAATCCACCAACAACTGGTGAACCAAAGGTTCCATAGCCCTGATTTAAGGCATTCTGCTTGTGAAACATCTTCTCTGCCACTGAGTTACAGACCTTGCCCATTCTCATCCAACACAGGATTTGTCTGCATACATAGGTATGGAGGAGTTGATATATGGGATGCATCTAATTATGGTAAATCTCATTGAGACAACATTATTTTTCTCCACTCTTTTGCAACTGCTACATGGAATGCAACTGCCTGAATGCCACCCACAAACACTTATCGGAAGGGCTGTGCTGTGGGAGTGCAGGAAGCGCCTGAAGAATCATTCTTGGACAAAGACTTCTGCTTTCTGAGAATCTTATCTTACATTTTGAGGTCACACTCTCTAATAAAGAACTTGGGATGTGAGCGCTGATGAGATTACTGAGAAACAAGAGAGAAGGACAGTACAACAATGCAAGATCAGAAATTCATGGAAGACTGTGCATATTTATATGATTATCTTGCATTAATGCATATTTCCTACAATAACAGCGTTTTCACGCTTTGTAGGGTTGCAAGTACGGTATAGGTAAAGGGACCCCTGACCATTAGGTCCAATAGTGGCCGACTCTGGAGGATGATGCGCTCATCTCGCTTTATTGGCCATATGGAGCTAAGCGATTGTCCACAGACAGCTTCGGGTCAAATGGTGGATCAGCATGACTAAGTCACTTCTGGCAAGTCCAGAGCAGCGCACGGATAACGCGATTACGTTACCACTGGAGCGGTACCTATTTATCTACTTGCATGTTAAGATGTAATAGAACTACTATAAAGAGTTAGCAGGAGCAGAGGACCAACATGCAAGTAGCTCACCCCGTCGCGGGGATTCGAACCGCCGACCTCCTGATCGGCAAGTCCTAGGCTCTGTGGTTTAACCCACAGTGTCAACCGCGTCCCTTGCTTCATCACAAAATTCAGAAAGCATGGATTTTGAAGGACAGCTGTGCTTGTTTGCTTATTGGTTCAAGAAGTGTGAATTAAGCAGTTTCTCATTAACATGCAAACAAAAATTAATTTCTTCCTCATCCCTAGCCAGGAATAATAGAATATTCTCTGTGAGTCATAAAGGGAAAATGAAGAAAGGGGAGGAGCATGACTGATTCACTGGAACTCTGAAGAAAAGTTTTGTTAGGAGATTAGGATCCATTGCAATGTTTTGTTGCAAATTTCAAATGTAGAATAAAAAAATCTGAGCCAATGAGTACACAACAATGTGTTTCCATACTGTTGTTTCCAATATTATGGGATCGTTCCAAAGCTATTTAGCATTGCCTGTATTGAGGGAAATGTCACATGCACTTTTTACTCACATAAATGGTTCATAAAAGGAGTTGTCTCTAAGGTACCTAGGTCCTAAAGGCCTAAGCCATACATGACTTTAAAGCTCATGACCAGCTCTTAGAACAATGGTTTTCAACCAGTGTGCCTTGGCACCCTAGGGTGCCTTGATTGATGGTCAGGGCAATACTGACCTCTGTCCCTCTTTCCCTCCTCTGATGCCCTCTTGCATCTCTGCCTCCCCAAGGCTTGCACAGCTGTTTGTTGCAGCAGCCCTGGCTACAAGCTCCCCTGGTGAATGGTGCCTCTGGGGCTGGCCAGCGAGTGATTCCCAGACCCCTGTGGGGCAGCGTGAGGAGGCACCTCTCTTTGGGGTGGGGGGAAGCAGCTCAGAGATCAGGGGCAACGGCAGGTGCTGCACAGAGGACTCCCAAGGAGAGGGGAGAGGAGAGGAGGCTGAGGGAACACTCCACAAGGAGTATTTGAAAAAGGGTGAGAGGCTGCCAGCTTCCCAGGCAGGGGTGACATAACTGGGCTCCTGAGCCCCACAGGGGTGCCGCAGAAAGAATGTAGATGGTCAAGGGAGCCGTGGACTCAAAAAGGTTGAAAACCTGTTTTAGAATCATGTTCTGAAATCTGCTCCTCTATTTTTCCATTTTAAGATACACATAATTTTCCGAGCTTTTCAATTCTGAAAAGGCAGCTCTTTTTCATTTTTTTCTTTTTAGAAAAATAGAGGAGCAGATTTCTTTTTAGCCAATCTTCAAAATCTGTTTTCATTTCCAGGGTTCAGTCCTGGAATATCCAAAGTTAGTGTCCCTGAACAGAGAAATGCAAATTGCCCATTTCCATCTTCACATTTATTTATTTTTTGGAACCTTGCAAATGAAGTAGGTTCGCCTTTAAATGCAAACGGAATCCAATTTCTCCCCTGCTTCAGCTTGAGCTCAGTTATAACGGCTTTTTCACTCCATCCCCACACTGAGCAGCAGCACTAAATATGCCTTCAGAGTAAACACTGGCGGGCAGGCGTTGCCAGCTCTGCTCGCCAGCAGCCTCTCTTTAGCCTCATTCACAACAGAGATTTTGCCGGCACTCTGATGGCGCCTTGGGTCCATTGCATACCTGTCTGCTAAGGCAGCAATGGGCAACTCACTTGCCAGGTCAGTCACTGGGCTGGTCAAAAAGAGGTTTGGGCAGATGATCCCTTTCCACAATCTGACTGTGTGTTCATCTCTGTGCCTGGCATTCAATGGCCACTGTTTTGCTAAGAACACACCACCCTTTAGGACAGCAACGGATTCAAGCAACCCCAGGGACACAGTTGAGGTCCAATTTATCCCAGTGGTTTTCTATTAACTGCCAGCTTTGGAATGTGGAATACCACGGGGGGACGGGGACGTAAAACAGAGGCTACATCCTCTGTCACGCCATAAGCTCTTATGATAGTCACCTTAAATGGCCAGCGTCAGTCAGCAATGACAGGAGCCATCTTAGCGTGAGATTCAAGAAGGACACTGACAAACTGGAACGTGTCCAGAGGAGGGCAACCAAAATGGTCAAAGGCCTGGAAACGATGCCTTATGAGGAACGGCTAAGGGAGCTGGGCATGTTTAGCCTGGAGAAGAGGAGGTTAAGGGGTGATATGATAGCCATGTTCAAATATATAAAAGGATGTCACATAGAGGAGGGAGAAAGGTTGTTTTCTGCTGCTCCAGAGAAGTGGACACGGAGCAATGGATCCAAACTACAAGAAAGAAGATTCCACCTAAACATTAGGAAGAACTTCCTGACAGTAAGAGCTGTTCGACAGTGGAATTTGCTGCCAAGGAGTGTGGTGGAGTCTCCTTCTTTGAAGGTCTTTAAGCAGAGGCTTGACAACCATATGTCAGGAGTGCTCTGATGGTGTTTCCTGCTTGGCAGGGGGTTGGACTCGATGGCCCTTGTGGTCTCTTCCAACTCTATGATTCTATGATTCTATGAATCTCTGTGCACGATACGGGCAAAGGGAGGGTCAACTTAACTTTCTGGGGCTGCTAGAGATGTGTTTGGTCAATGGATGAGCAGCCAATGAAATGGCTTTCTTGCCTCGGAAAGACGCTGCGGACCTGCTCAGTCAGCAAAGCGTGAGACCCTTAATCTCAGGGTCGTAAGTTTGGACTAGATAACCCCTTCCAACTCTACAATTCTATGATTCTGCTAATTCTAATTCCCCTCAGAAAGCGTGAGGGGTGTGTGGGAACCCACTGGCAGTGCTCCAGCACGGATACCCCTGTTGGGCAAGTCCTTCACAGACTGCATGTTCCACATTAAAAAGAAAGAGCCTGAAGTGTATATAGCAACATACACATGAAACCCTTTGGTATATAAATGTATTAGAGAAATATAATATCTATTTTTGAGACCCAGATGTTGTGGAAAGTAGGTTGTAATTTTAAAAAATAATAAACAAATGTTACATTTAAAAATCAGCTTGCGGGCGGCTTGCCTCTCCCTTCCTTCTGTTGCTTTACTGTTTTGGATGCTCCCCCTGCTCCTGCCTTCATTCTCCCTCTTGAGACCACACCCACTCAATATCCATGTAATTAGCGCAACCCTGCCATATAGATGTATGTGCAGAGACATATATAGTCCCCGCTCACGTGTGTCACACCCAGAGCCCTCTGTAAACTGTACCGAAGCCAAACGTTTAGATGCTTCAGAGAAACCCTTTCAGTAGATGCGTCACTGAGGTGGATGTACACAAAGAGGTGAGATCTCTGAAACACCCACATTTATAAGTAGCAGTGGCCAAGTTAAATACAGTTAGATCTAGCTGAGTCTTCCTTCTTGGCTCAGAAACGATTATACCTCGCAGCGCTTGGGGAGTAAATAATTAGCCCTAATTTGGCTATATTTAACCACACAAACCGCAAACCTGTCTCTAATGTGGCTGCCTTGATATGTGATATAGCTTGAATGGGAACATTTTGTACAAGGCACTGTTCAGAAAGTAGCTTCTCCGGTTTTCAGGTGTTATGTCACACAATACCTCTCCGTTAGACTATTTTGACAGATTTCGGTGGTCTTAAAATGGGGTGGTCTTTATGCATCCATGAGGGGAATGGGAAAGGACCCCATCATTTGCTTGTTAATTTTTGTATACTATTGCGATCACACCATTTCTATAATAAATAAATTAAGTGAAATGAATCAAGAAGCAGAGCAGTGGGGTTACTAGGGCTGCAAAAAGGAAGCAATTAATTAAAAGAATTACTGTATATAGGAAATACCTGGAAATGGAGAATTAAAGGGACAGTAGCCATGATCAGCTGCTGAACTGAACTTACTGCAGAGTAAGCATATTCAGTGGTCTTTTTTTTTTTTTGGATTATAAAAAAAAGTGAAGTGCTGCTACTCTTGTATTGATAAAAGTGCTGTGGGTGCCAGCACAAAATGGCCGCTGTGGGCAGCAAAAAAAAAAATAGGTGAGTACAAAAAAGAGTTGCGAGTATATTGGGGCCTTTCCTGTGCAGGCTGGCATTTTAGGGATCATTATGAGGCCCCCTCATGGTAAATGAAGGGCTCGTCCACACCAGAGTGGAGGAATCAGGATACAAATTACTTGTTCCAGTTTGTTGTGGTGGGTTGGCCAATTGTCGCTTTCTTTCACTCCCCTTTCCACACACATTACTTCCTTGGTGCTTTAGTTTCTTCACCGGTCTTGCTCATAACTATTTCCTGAATAAAGAAATGTAGATGTGTTTATATTCACCACCACTTTTGGATCCCTCTGATTTGCACAAAACCAGAAAACCACAGTGAAACCACACTAAAAATTTCTACGCCAGATACCCCCAAAAATGTGTGTGCTGAGAATTTACAATTGCTTTAATCATTTATAATTGCCTCACAGCTGTCTGTACACATGCCCTATCCGTATTTAATCGTCATAATATAATCAACAAATCAGAAGGGAGGGATAAACACAAAAGGGTACAAACCTACTGGTACAAACAGGAAAAAATGAAGTTGCTCCTCGTATACAAATTCAAATACATGCAGGTGTGGTCTACTCCGGTCTAATTCTAATGGGCAAAAGATGGATTAAATCATGCTAAAATGTGGGCAAGCCCAAAGGTCCTTGTGGAATCATTGCTTTAATTCTGTTTTCCAGCTGACTGCAGAAGAGTAATGCATCAGCGTCACTAAAGAGCCCTAATTGTGAACCACTTATGAATTCCGTCAAGTGATATTCAGAGAGGCATACTTCCTCCAACAGAGGAAGCACAACATAGACATCCTGTCCAGGAGCCATTAATACCCTCATCCTCCTTATCCTCTTCAGACTGTGACTGAACGCAGACTCAATTCATGACTTCAGCACCAGCCAACCTTTCCCCCTCCATTTTGTTTACCGTATAGCCCAATGAAGAGTTCTGGAGAGCTCTAAAGCTTGAACATCACTTAGTAACATGTTGGTTGGCCTAATAAATGTATCACGCCAATGTGGATTTTGGAATGTTTATTAATGGCAAGAAGACCTGCTTTCAAATAAGCTATAACCAACACAGAGAAAGCTTTAGGTTTATTGAGTAGCAGTGAAGGGAATGATTTCATGCCTCCTGGAAGTTATTGTGCCAAGTCCTCTACTTAAAAAAAAAAAGTTTCCTATTTGCATTTGGTTGGAAAGGAGAGGAATACCACTGATATGCAGATTTTCCAGCCAAGGAAAAATAGCTGAAAGAAGTGCTAACTTTTTTATTTTTTTAAAAAGTTTTTTTTACTGGAGATTTTATTTCCGCAAGCACTCGCACCAAAATAATAAATCCCAAGAGCAGAAGAAGGGAGAAGCCTTTGGTTAATGTGTTGTCTTTTTGTCCTGACTTAGGTAGGGATGGGAGCCAAAGAGAGACCAAGCCAGAATCTCACTTCAAGGGCTAATTAAGTTTCCAAGGAGCATTGCACCATCCTTCAGGTAGAAGAAGAAGAGTTTGGATTTGATATCCCGCTTTATCACTACCTGAAGGAGTCTCAAAGCGGCTAACATTCTCCTTTCCCTTCCTCCCCCACAACAAACACTCTGTGAGGTGAGTGGGGCTGAGAGACTTCAGAGAAGTGTGACTGGCCCAAGGTCACCCAGCAGCTCCATGTGGAGGAGCGGGGAATCGAACCCGGTTCCCCAGATTACGAGTCCACTGCTCTTAACCACTACACCACACTGGTAGGAGCAGAAGCAGGCTCCCTATGACTCTAAAGCCACTTTCATGGAAATAAAAGCCAGGTGGTCACAAGGGCTACCTGTCTGAGCTTTGCATTAGGTAGAGAGGGCAGGGCAAGGAAGATGTCATTTGGCTGCCTTGTTTCCACCTCCAGAGATTTCTCCCTGAGTCCTGTCTAGCAGTGGTTACATAACTTTATGACCACTGCTCCTTAGTACCGTAATTGTTGCTATACAATTCCATTCACCATATAGATGGGTTTATGAAGCACTTCTGTATCCTTCTGTGATGCCGAAGAAGAATTCCACGAAACAGTGGGTATATCTGGAATCACTGTTCACTACGTCTGTTTGCGGACCACTTTGGCAGCGCTGGACATCATAAACAAAGCTTTATGGCTTGTTTTCATCAGATAAGAATCTTACCCATTGCTTCTCAGAGACTTGCATAGCTCACAAAGACTTTCAGAGACCTATAAGACTTATGTTTATTTGGGTCTATGGTTTCAAGAGAATCCATCAAGAGTGCATATTTTGTGACTTTCAGAGATTTGGAAGATTTCTGTTTATTTGGTTTTGCAGAGAGTGTATATTTCATATTGTTCAGTGCTCTGCATAGATTATATAAAGAGTTTATATTGACATCGCATTGTTGTACTTGGTCATCGTGTTGCCTTTGGATATTACTGGCTCCAGGAGTTGCTAGAAGGAAATGTACAAAGTGTCATCCATCCGTCTTAGGGACTGCACTCTGGATTTGTGTGGGGTTCGCTCCTTAGCCTTTTCTTCTCACAAAGATGCACCCACGAGGCAGTGGGTACCAATTTTTCCTTTGGGTTCACTCCCCAAGCCTTTCTCACAAACGAGTATAGCCACAAGGCACCAGAGGTTTGGGATCAGAGTTTCCCTTCTCCTAGATGGGCTACCTTCCCAGGTTGATGAGCCCCTTGTTTCCCTCTGCAGCACATGCAGAAACCAGTTTCTTTACCATTGGACTCACTCAGTCCACCAGAACAGAGGAAGTCCTTAACTCACCAAGGGCTTAAAACCCATCGGCTACCCTCAGCTGGTTTAGCCGGCCAGTCAAAGGCATTTCTCAGGGTGTGGCCGCCTGTCGCATGCTGGCAGCTTCCAGGAGCCGCAGGTGAGTTACTAAGTGCAGGGTGGAGGCCAAAATGGGCAAACTATTCCAGAAGGAGCACAGCAGGTCCCCCGTCAGAGGTACTACCCTTCCCCTAACACACACCCCACACACTCTGTGTGTGTGTGTGTGTGTGTGTGTGTATAAATACAAAATAACCTCCAATCAACTCTACCATCTATCTATCTCATATACACATTTTAAAAAGATTACTAATGTATGAATTACATACATTAAAATTCTTCAAAATATAAAAGTAAGCTATTATCAGAAATTTATAAGATACAGTGGAACCTCGGTTGTTGAACATAATCCATTCCGGAAGGCCATTCGACTTCTGAAACATTCGACAACCAAGGCACAATTCGGTCGGCAAAATCCATTGGAAAAAATGGAGAGACGCACATCGGAAGCCGTTCGACTTTCGAGGCGTGTTCGAAAACAGAAACATTCACTTCCGGGTTGTCGGTGTTCAGAAGCCGAAACGTTCGACTTCCGAAGCATTCGACAACAGAGGTTCCACTGTATAACAATGACTAATCTGTATAAAACTGTGCCCCTCAAAGGTCAGTACTGCACCCCTCTGACGTCTGTGCCCTAGGCGGCTGCCTAGCTGACCTAATGATGCTTTTATATTTATTGGAAGCTGCCTGAGTGGGCTGAGACAACCCAGTCAGACAGGCAGGATATTATTATTATTATTATTATTATTATTATTATTATTGCTGCTGCTGCTGCTGCTGCTGCTGTTACTTCTACTATACTGGCCCTGAGTGTAAAATGACAATAAAGAGCCACCCATCGGAGGACAGTGCTCTTCTCTTTGAGAGAGGTCAGCCTGTTCATAATTAATTGGTAGTTCCTGATGTCTTTGACAGCAGCTGAATGAACTAATGGTGCATGAGTTGTAATTTCCTCTTTTCTGTGCTCCCTGGGCACTGCGTAGCACACAGAGAGCCCTTTGCAGAGATGGGCTGCCAGGAGCCACCTGCCTGAATGGTAGGAAGAATGCTGTGGCCTCTTCCACCTATAGGTTCAGATCAATGCGGTGAAGCAAAAAAGAAGAAAAAAAGAAAGCATTTGAGAAGCTGGAGAATTCTGAATGGTTCTCAAGCATGAAACCACCACACGTTGCGGGTGAAAGGAAAAGGTGCTTCATTATTAGCACATGGCTTGATTTAAAGCTTCACTCCCCCTTCCTTCCCTGAGATGCGTTTTGGTTACTGCAGGCTAAAATTTCTGAAGATCCCGTACGTACAAGGATATCCTGCAGGGCAAAGGATGAGGAGCGAGGAAAGGTTGGCAGGCAGCCTAGCAGAGTTTTCACATCTAACGGAAGCATTACAGTCGTACCTCAGAAGTCGAACGCCTTGCATGTTGAATATTTTGGCTCCTGAATGCTGCAAACCCGCAAGTAAGTGTTCCGGTTTGCGAACGTTCTTTGGAACCCAAACGTCCGGCGCGGCTTCTGATTGGCCGCAGGAGCTTCCGGCAGCCAATCGGAAGCCGGGCCTTGGTTTCCAAATGTTCTGGACTTCCAGAACAGATTCCATCCAACTTCCGAGGTACGACTGTATTGCGGGATATGTAATAGATAAGGTACCTAACAATGACAGCATGCAAAACTTCCGGGATTCGCATAACTGTTTATATGCAGAAATCTCACAGCTTCAAACAAAAAGCAGGAGATTCTTTTCCAACAGAGCGAAAACATCTCTTAGTTCCACAATACATAACCTTCTGGGTTCCACAGAACTCTATGGCAAGCAGCACTACTTAGATAGCCTTTCACAAAAACTGTTTTCAGTGGGAGCTGGGATCTGAAATACTGCACTTCGGAACTCCCTGCCTGTACTTTTTGGCACCTGCTAAAAATATTCTTGCTGAGACAAGCCTATGCAGAAGCTGAGGTAATTTTAATCTGTTTTGGTATTTAAACTTTTGTATGCTTTAATGTACGGTTGTTGATTTTTCTTATTATTGCAGGGGCGGGGGGGAGAAATCCCCTTAAGGTCATCCGTGGGATTGCAGACACTCTGGGAGCATACAAAGAGATGTTTGACAAGCTCAAGAGACAAAAGCTGCAGCTGCCCATGTTCCTCACAAAGAGACCAGCACAACCACCACCAGATGTGCCCACAAAACTCACCTGAAACAAGTGCTTGCCCAGAACACTGTACCCGTACCACCTAAGGGTGCTTCAAAATGGTGCATGTGGTAATACAGTGGTACCTCGGGTTAAGAACTTACCGTATTTTTTGCTCTATAAGACTCACTTTTTCCCTCCTAAAAAGTAAGGGGGAATGTGTGTGCGTCTTATGGAGCGAATGCAGGCTGCGCAGCTATCCCAGAAGTCAGAACAGTAAGAGGGATTGCTGCTTTCACTGCACAGCGATCCCTCTTGCTGTTCTGGCTTCTGAGATTCAGAATATTTTTTTTCTTGTTTTCCTCCTCCAAAAACTAGGTGCGTCTTATGGTCTGGTGCGTCTTATAGAGCGAAAAATACGGTAATTCGTTCTGGAGGTCAGTTCTTAACCTGAAACTGATCTTAACCTGAGGTACCACTTTAGCTAATGGGGCCTCCCGAAGCCCCGAAGCCGCCACCGCGCAATTTCTGTTCTCATCCTGAAGCAAAGTTCTTAACCCGAGGTACTATTTCTGGGTTAGCGGAGTCTGTAACCTGAAGCGTCTGCACCACTGTATTGCAAACAAACCATTCAGATATCACAGGTGCTTAAAACGAGTAGTGACTGGAAAGAGAACCTTTTTCACTCACAATACCCCATTTTTTAGAGAGTCCTGCTCAGGGAGACTCCTATCAAGAAGCAACTGTCACTGTGTCTACATGCCATCCATTTAAAGCACGTTCTTCCCTCAAAGCATCCTGGGAACTGTAGTTTGCTGCTCCCACACACAGCTATACTCACAACACTCCTAAACTACAGTTCCCATGATTCTGGAGTGGGGAGTGGTTAGTTATGTGCTTTAAATGTATGGTGTGGAGGCAGCCTATGTTGTCTTTTATTGGAGAGCTAAAAATTCAGCCCAATAAAATAAGTTATTGCATAGCGCGCCTTGTAAATTGGAAAGGAGAGGCTTTACAACACCCAATCATGATTTGCGCCTTTCTTTGTAAACTGGGGAAAGGGTGCCCAAGACGCAGGAGACATGAGCTCACTCTTGTTGACTAGATGTAATGCTGTGTCACCTGATCCC